CCCCCCCCCTCCCCCCCCACACACACACACCCCTCTTTCCTTACCCTCATACGGCGGTATCGTGCACCCGCACGTAAAACGCAACGTGAGTGGCGCGCGCATGGAGGGAGAGAGGGGGGGGGAGCCACGAACAGAGGCTGCTATGCAAGGTGAATACTTCGCACTATGGAACGTGATCGGGAGTCCGCTGCCTCACCCAGTCAAGGTGGCTGTTTCCACGAAAACCAACACCCTGGGGTAATTTCGAGGGTAATTTGCACACGCGAAACGAAGGGTGTTGGCACAACATTGTTTACGTACGCACCCCTTTGATGAGACACGTTGCACGCGTGGAGCGTGAGCGAGGCGTGAGCGAAGCGTGAGCCAGTCGCACCAGGCGTCTCTTTGCATGCGAGCCAGAGTGTGGCATGGGTTGCCTACTCCCTCGGGCCACCGTGGCCAATACGGCTCACGTGCTGAGAGAGCAAGCAAACCCGCATACACCGGCGGCGCGTGGGCAGAAAAAAACGCGGTAAAAAAAAATCAACGGAGTTGCATAATTTACGACAGTGAAATCAAAGAATAACGCGGGTCATCGATAGAAGACAGATGCCGACAAATGTGACACCTTCCGATCCCGCCCACGTACCCCCAACGTGTGACTGCCTTGACTGCGAGCAGACGACCTTGAACGAGGAGATGAGAGTGGGAGAGGGGTGGGACCCGGCCGGTTGGGGAGAATATGGGCGGGTCACGTCCCCTTGTCGATGGGAAAGCCTGCCCCACCGCCGCCGGGGGCTTGGCGGGCCTGGCGCGGCAGGGAGGCTGCGCAGAGATTCCGCGTCATTGTCAGCACCCGCTGTCGCTAAGTCTTTAAAAAACGAGGCCAATTTAGATTTTGCAGCGTTCCGTTTTCAAAAAAAAGGAGAAAAAAAGAAAAAAAAGTTGAACCGAATAAAATGAGGAGAAAAGAGGGAAATAACGATGATCACGCTTCTGGAGCAGTGACGCGGCTCGGGCTCCGCCCCACCCTCCATCCAAATAATCCCTCGCGCCGCTCTCCACACCACACCCGGAGGGAGAGAGGGATGAGCGGCCTGGGGGTGAAAAAACAACAACAAAATAAAACAAAAAAAAATCGGGTCGCGTGCGCTATCGTCGGCAAGATGACCCACGGGGCGAAACAAGGCATAAAATAGATTAACTTCCAAAAACTCTAATGTCACTCAAGAGACGAAATTCGGAAGCAGCTTCGTTTTTCGCCCCGGCCGGCCAGAAGACCAGCGGTGGTGGCGAGCCCCGCGGGAAAACTTTTACCCCGTCGTGCGCGTTGGCAATCACGGCCAAAGTTGGTTACGGTGACAACTCCTTAATCAGCCGCCCCGCCCCGC